GTATGGATGAGTTGCTAGTTTAAAAGTATAAAATATATACCTGTGGGGGCATGGTTGAATTGTCAAAGTATAAAGTATAAATATATATACTTAAGGAGGCATGGTTGAGTTGTTAATATATAAATAAATATATTTATAATGGCATGGTTAATTTGCCAAAGCATAAGTTAATGGCTATGGGTATTGGAGGTTTGAACTGCTTTTATGGTTATTGTGTGTATCAGTTGGATTAGGATTAGATATTCTTAAATTAGAATAATCTAGTACTTACAGATTAGTTTATTATTTTATACATATTAATAAAATAATACTGGTGGTGACATGGATGATTTGTCAAAGCCTAGATATTGGCGGTGTGATTTAAATACTTAAAATTATTATTGGTTTTGGAATTAAATATAATGTTCTTTTAATTATATTTTATTATTTAAATTATTAAATTGCCGTGTAGGATGGAATTAAGGTTAGGGGAGTTTCTTTAAAAAGAAATTGTGGATTGGACTAGATATGATTATTATTTAATCATTGTTAATGGTTTTGAAATTAATGCACCTAACTATAGATGTTATTGTTATACTGTATATAATTAGTTATATATATATGTATATCATGATATATTAAGGTTAAAACTTTATTAGGTTTGCTTTTGATCAGAGATGATCTATTTTTTGGTTTTCAGATGTCTGGTAGAGAGAACTTGCTCGTAGGGTTTAACCCACGATTTATTTTTCAGGTTATTAGAGGTTCCAGTCTCGACATTGAGGATCCACAGTTGGGAGACTGTCATTCATCTAGTCATCTTGTGTATTTTTTAGTAGTATTGGATTATTAGATAGTGTTTTAAGGGGTCCTTGAGTTACGAGATTCCCGAGTTGTAACCATTGGAGAATTATTAATGGATTTATTATTAAATAAATTTTTCTTCAGCGTATTATTTATTCTTTTATTTCATTTTGTATTTTGCGCTTGTTCAATACTTTAATTGTTTTGATATCCCTTAATTTTGTGCGCGGACTTGATCAACCTGTGTTCCGAAATCAGGGGGTATCACAACAATGTTGGCAGTGAAGACATTACTCTTGCTTAAATTAGGCTTCAGTCCTAAAAGAGAGGAAAAGGTCTCTATGCCAGAAAGAAGAGCTGAGAGAAAATGGATCCCCATTTCAAAATCAAGTCAAATCATCAACAAAACGTAAATGAGATATTTTGTTAGCCTTGCATCCCTAGTGATAAAAAAATTAAGGATCATTAGTGATTGCCCTATTAAGAGTGGTTGACAAGACATTCATCACAATGACAAAAATGAATGGAGAATGTTGGAGTAGAAACACAAGCTTTAATTCATTTGGAAATAACAATATAAAAAAATTAAATTATAAGATCTGTTTTTTTTAAGTGCATGTCGAATAAAAAATGTCTGACACATTCCATATGTATGTCCAAGTATTTGTGTCAGGCCCGAGTTTCATTTACCTTTGAAAAATCTATGTAACGTATGATGCAACACTAGGACGATGTTGGCAGTGAACACATTACTCTTGCTTAAATTAGGCTTCAGTCCTGAAAAAGAGGAAAAGATCTCTAGGCCAGAGAGAAGAACTGAGAGAAAATGGATCCCCATTGTAAAATCAAGTCAAATCATCAACAAAACATAAATGAGATATTTTGTTAGCCTTGCATCCCTAGTGATAAAAAAATTGAGGATCATTAGTAATTGCCTTATTGAGAGTGGTTGACAAGACATCCATCACAATGACAAAAATGAATCGAGAATGCAGGAGTATAAACACAAGCTTTAATTCATTTGGAAATAACAATATCAAAAAATTAAATTATAAGATCTGTTTTTTAAGTGCATGTCCAATAAAAAATGTCAGACACATATTCCATATTTATGTCCAAGTATTTGTGTCATGCCCAAGTTTCATTTACCTTTGAAAAATTTATGTAACACTAGACGCAACACTAAGACGCATAGATACAAACATGGAATATGGATATGACACGATGCGGACACTACAATACATCAAATCTTAAAATAAAATAAATAAATAAACATAGGACACAAATGGATATGAATACGTCAAAAATAATAATAGAATAATAATAATAATTTTTACTTATTTTATCCACACAACAAAATAACTAATTTGAAGTTTAGAGCTATATGTTTGTTATTTTGATTATCTTATATTATATATCATTTTTTAATTAACTCATAATATGTTTCAAATTAATTATATTAAATTCCACTTTTCAAATAAAAAATAATTATCAGTGCATTTTAGATGCAATATAGAGGAACGGGTACATCGTTATAAGCCAAGAATTTGGGTTGAAATGTCCCGCTATACAGCCTAAACATCATGGCCGGGCTTCCTAGACCACCAAAACGGGCTTCGAAACCTAGAAAGCCCATTTCACAATAAGTCTCTTTGTTTGGCAAAAAATTGAAACCGACTTCCATCAAAATCTAACTCTTTAAAAGCCCGTTTAATAAAAGTAACTCGTAGTTGCTTTTAAAACACACTTCCCCAATGTGAATAATCGTGATCATAAAATATACAAATCTTATCCTTATCTCTTTACAAGTTCTCTCTAAATTATCTCTATAGCTTCACAATTAACGGCTGATGACAAAACAAACTGGCCACCACCGAACCAACAGCACCCAATCACGTGGCCACCACCACCACTCCTTCCTCTACCGCCTTGTCACTAGCGACGCGACTACACAATCCTTGATATCACTTATGTAAAATGTTATGCTTCTAATCTATTCTTTAAATATGCAACAGATCTAAAAAATTAGAACATAAGAGAAGAGGGAATAAGAAAGTGGGAAGGGGCTTCAAATAGTGGTAAATTTTCATAGACTTTTTATATAGACATGGTAGATCCATTTGCACATGTGTTAAAAGATGAAATTTATATATTGAGGGTTCTTTTAGAGATTAAAAAGGGATAAAAATTATGTACGTGAAAGATGAAGACAACGAATTTTGCATCTGGATAATTTCAACGCTGGTCATCGGAATTGTGTATTCTCACACCACTTTAACAGTGAACTGCTCTGGAGCTTCCAATTGATAAAAAAAAATAATAATAATAAACACCTATCTATAATTTATATATATATATATATTTGTAAGATATATATATTTAGTAATTTGCTAATTTCGTTGTCAAAATAAGTCCGATCGAGTTGTAAAATTTCGGTTCAAAATTTCAATATTGAAGATCGGAAGCGAATTTGAAGAAGTTCAAGTGTTCATAAATTAAAACACACCGGGATGATGAGAACGATGCTTAAAAAAGGTATATGAGTGTGTGAGAACACTTAGGAAGTTTTGGAAGTTTGAAACACAAGTGTTTGGGAAGTGTTTACATTTTCCAACTTAAACTAGTTCAAGAATTTTGGAACAGGTTCAACTTTTGAGGCTTTTGGGTATTTTTCAAGTCTGGCCACCTTGAATCGGTTCAAGGTCTTCAAATCTGTTTTCGTAACTTAACTTCCTAGACTATTTTGATTTTTATTTGGTTTAAACTTCCTTCCAAAAACCTATGCATGAATTTGACTTGGTTTCCAAGTATCTTTAGGTCTTCTAAATTTCTATATAATGTCTCTTTTATTCAACATTGAGGTATGGCTTTTTGGAACAAAAATTCATTATTTTGAGAGAGCTTTTTGAGATATATTTTTTAGAAAATCAATTCTGATCTTTTTTTTTTTTTTTTTTTTTTTTTTTTAGTACACACATATATAGATGAGTGATTTAGTAGTGTTGTTTTCTATCTCATTGGAATTGGAGCATAATTGAAGATTCAGATATTTCTAAAAGCAGATTTATTCATTCTTCATAAAATTCAGATTTAAAGAAAAAGGGTAAAGCGATCACACTTTGAAGGGGTCAAAGCATTCGTAGAGTGCTGTTTGATCTACTAACAATCCTTTTACAGAGATTAAGGGTAAGCCAAAGGTCGAAAGCTGTTGGACGGGAAGTCGCAAAGGCAAAGATTATCAGCGATTGATTTTTGGTAGAATGATAGGGTATGAGCCTGAGTCAAAGTTCAGTATACTTTACTTCAAACATAGTGAATCGTTTTGCCCTAAACTGCACAGTCCACGCGATTTTTTCCACAACAATTGGTCTCTTATGTCAATTAGAGTTTCCTCACTAAAAATCCTGGTGTCATCTCTCAAACTTTACTTACTTTACTTTTCAATATTTATCTTTGTGATTGTGGATGTTTAATTAATCATATTACTTGGATATATTAATCAATCACAAAATTTGGATAAGTTGATTTATAATCTCATCCAAGTCATTTAGGAATTTAATCACAATTAAATCAACTAACAACTTCCTCACTGCATAACTCACAATATTTATGTGTGTGATATATATATGCATCAATTGATCTTATTGCCATTGTTGGGTGAGAGAAATTGAGCTGGTTAATGGGTTTAAAGTAAGAGGGTGGAGTATAATTTTCTCTCTTATTGTGTTTACTACATTCACATTTTGTTGGTTATTTGATATATATATATATATATATATAAATTTATTTGGTATTATCTAAATCTTTGTTTTTCACGTTCAAAATGTGGTGATGTGAAGATTGGTCTTCCACGTAGCAAACAATGGAGAGATGGTTTGAATGAAAATGTGTAAAAGGAGATGGGTATTTTTGTCCAAAAAAAAAAATTTAAGTATTAAATGAATTGTAAAAAGTGGGACTCACCAAACATCTTTTTATGCATAATTCCTTATAGGAAAGAACTGTCACAGATGGACTTTGGGTGTTGAAGCTCCCCAAGCAGTGGGCCATAACTGTAATTTATTTGACTGGCAAGTAACAAGTCTTACATATTTATCTTCCGAGTGCACATTACGTCATGGCACACCTCACTATGCACAAATTTGTTCATATGACTTCAATCTATATTGTCGTGTCTCAAAACCGTTTCAACATCACATGAATTCAAACATCTTGTATTATTACATGAACTCTAAATTAACAAGCAATGACAAAACTTTTTCTACCCCTTTCTTAAGCAATATAATCTTAAAAAGAACATAACTCCAAAAATAAAACAATAAAATAAAAGAAATAAATGTTACAAACTATCAAACTAGTTCAATATTTTGGAGAGAAGCACTTGGTTGATCATTTCCTCTAGATTCATGTAAGATGACCCAACCGAACTAGTACTTGCCTTGTCAGCCAGTTTCTTCCACTCCATGGCCTTTACCTTCATCTCTTTACCCTTATCTCCAAACATCAACTCTTTGACAAGAAACTCAACTTCATCTCTCTTGACATCACTATCTATCTCCATGCCTATCCCCCATTTACTGCAACAAAACCAACAGTTGGTCTGTTGGTCGGCGAAAAATGGCCAACAGAGCATTGGCACTCCAAAACTGATGCTTTCGAGAGTTGAATTCCACCCATTGTGAGTTAAGAACCCTCCAATAGAGCGGTGGCCAAGAACTTGTTCTTGTGGGCACCAACTTGCCAACAACCCCCTATCTCTGGTCTCAGACAAAAACTCAGGTGGAAGAATAGCGGAATCACCGGCAACAAGGTCAGGCCTTATTACCCACAAAAAGGTTTGGTTGCTATTAGCAAGTCCCCAAGCAAACTCAACCAGTTGGTTGGGTGTCATGACAGTGATGCTTCCAAAATTCACGTAAACAACAGAGTTAGGCTCTTTCGAGTCGAGCCATTCGAGACACTGTGTATCTTCTTTCCATAAATTTGATTCTATGAACTTTAAACTACTGTCACCAATCTGCTTGAGAAGTAAATGTAAAGGGCCAATGGTGTAAATTGGAGGAAACATGGACGAAAGTGCTTCCACCACATCATGCTCCAAATCCTCGAAGGTATTGAAGATGATCGCAGAAGCTTTCTGAGATCTATCAGTAGCATCTATGGCAAATTTCACCATAAATTCATCGGGGTCCGTGCTTCTAATAAAAGATGGCATATCTTTCAAACGTATGCCTTCCATACCTGGTATCCAATCTATAACTGTCTCCAAACTCACCCCTGCACGTCAAGAAAATTGAATTATCATTGTGAAGTTGTAATAGGTCAACACGGAATAGAAATTTACTCTAGTGCATTTGAACATTATAAATAATACAAAAACTTAAAAATTGATTGATAATCGCGCGCGTGCTAAGAGACTTGATAACTAAGGTTTGTCGAGAATGCAAGAAATAGAATTTTTTCATAAAATTGTAAAAGATAGGTTTTTTTTTTTCTAATTGAGTTTTCAGAATCATGAAACTGTTAACCATATTGGTTTATATGCAGTTTCTTATTTTCAATTCTTAGTAAAACAGAACAAATCAGACCTTAGTTATTCATTTTCAAAATAAAAGACTATTAATAATTTTAACAATGTAACAATCAAGTAATTTAGTGTTATTATTCATGCCAATAAAAAGGGGTGCTTGTAAATTTGCATAGATGGTTGTATTTATGAAGTTGGGTTTTGATTAATTAGTGAATACGTACCTCTGAGTGGTGTAATACCCTTCTCGATGAGATTGCTGTACTGCACATAACACATGAAGCTACAGGCGCTGGCAGTCCAGAGGAGAACTCCTGGAATGCCCAGTTCAGCAGCAGCCGCGAGAGTGAAGATCATAACTGAGTCCGCAACTATGCAAGTGACTGGAGGTACATTTGAGGAAGAGATGTTACTGAGTTTTGAGAGGAGGTCTCTAAATGGAACTAAACAGTTTTTATCGACGGAGGCACATAGGGAGGGCGTGTCTTGGGTGACATCGGCATCGGATGGAGGAAGGCCGTCGGGAATGGTTTCGAATCTGAACGAGGAAAGGCCGTTTAGGGAGTCGGGGCCTCGGGATTTTAGAAGCCGTCGATGGTTGAACTCTGTGTTGACAAAGGTGATGTGGAAGCCTTTCAAATGGAGGAGTTTAGCTAATTTTAGCATGGGAGTTATGTGGCCTTGAGCTGGACATGGTACACAAACTGCATGAGGCCTCTCTAACGTATGAACGGAACTCATTCTCTCTCTCTCTCTCCTTGTGTCTATCTATCTCTTTGCCCTCTCGGTGAGATGCTACTGGGAAGTGAACCAGTTCTACTTTTATAACCCCCAAGGGTTAGCCTAATTGGAACAAACAGATTAACTCTTATGAAGCATCAGGTCTGATGATTAATTTTTTTTTTAAAGTGTAAACAATTTGTTAGGGTCACATGTGCAAACATAGTAAGAGTTTTTTTTTTTATTTAGGTGGGGTGATTCATTCTTTTTAGGTACAAACAATTCAATCAAAATCAAATACGGAACATAGTCTGAACTTTACTCAATCTATGTGAGGGACAGAGCAAAACCCTACATTCTTGATTATAAAAATAAAAAATAATTAAAAAATCAAATAAATCATACTAACTTATCAAGAACAAATTGTCTTGCTAATTTTAAATATTACATTCTGTAACCCATTACCTGCACCGCCATTACATTACGGAAAAATTGTGGTAGATCCATGCACACTTTGATCGATCAATTACGTCATTGCTTAGGTTAATTGTGCTTTTAAACCTTTATGTGATTCTTCTTTCTATTAATTTAGTTGGACTACCATTTCAAATTGTATACTAGCATATACTATACCATTTTGATTGTTTTTAATTTGCCCTAGTCAAATTACAGCAGCTTTCACACTCCATTATCAATATGGGGTACTAAAAGTATGTGTTGGGTAAAGACCGATGTATGATATTACATTACAAATTTCCATTTTTTATATACAATTCTTCCAAGTAAAATGAAAGTTTGGTTATTATAGATTGTAAAGAATAGCAAATGTTCAATTATAAATGAAAGAGATGTGGAAGTCCATGTTACAACAATATTTTAAGTGGTGATAGAGAGTCTCAAGAGTTTCTCAACCACCCAGACCCTCTCACGGGAGGTTTAGAAGTGTCCTAGGATTTCAAACACTCCGTTACATAATATATCTATATACGTACATATATATATATATATATATATATGTACGTATATAGATATATTACTTGACAAGGAGGGAAGAGCATGATAAGGTGAGTCGACCTTAAACACCCACAAGACTCGAGCAGGAATGTCACTCATTGCTACAGCCTAGAATTACACATATGTAATCGGGATCCCAGCTAAAAATACTCAGTTGGGGGCTATAGTGCTAGGCTCTATAAAACTAAAATTATTAAAATAAAATAATATTATTGCATTCTTTATCCTAGTTCATATTTTTATTTTTTGAACATCTCAAAATAAATGTTACATTTGAAAAGTCAAAAGGACTTTTTTTACAGTATTACCATTTTAACCTTCTTGCATTAAATTTATAAAAAATAAACCACCACATTTTGTGGACTCATCACTATGCATAGATTAAATTTATTACTTCGTGAGTCTATATGGCTATTTATGTGTCAAATATAATAGGAGCCATATTAAAATATAAAGTAATTAACTATTTAGAAAGTTGCATCTCTTTTTTAGGTTTCATCTGTTGGAAAAAGATATGCTTCAAATGACATTTAGGTATAACTAACCTTATACTAATATGCAATTAGATAATTAATAATATGTTAAAAAATAATTAATTAAATATCAATTAAACATGCAAATTAAAGTAATAAAATAATAATAAATAAAGAACATGGATCGAACTTAGTATTGTATACTATGTTCTTAAGACAATTTACGCCCCGTATGGTGTTGACAGACTCTGTGGCGCTTGTCTCCCATGATACAATTAACGGTCTACATCCACCAGTAGCAGCACTGCAAACTCGTGGATATGGTGAACCTCCTCTGTGTAATACTTTCTCTAACTCAAAATGCATCTATACTATACAAATGCTGAATTGGGTGTAATCCGAACCAAATGGTTCGGACCAATCTTAATATGGCTCGATAAAATTGGATTAAAGTCTAAGTGGTTCAGGCCACTTGACCTATGGCAGCCTAAGGGGGTATTTATATAAATAGAAGTGCCTTTTCTAATTAGGTGTGTCTCTTCATCACTAGATACAACCATTTATTGTGAGATATTATTTTATTTTTGGCAATTTTCATAAACAAAACAAGCCCATGTCGAGTTATAATTCCAGTTACTTGTACTGCAAATTATCAAGATCTACGGCGACTACGGAATTGGAGAGGTTGTTTAAAGTTACCACAATTGAGATCATTTAAAGAAAAAGGTAAGAACAACACTTTATGAAGGAATTTTAAAAGGTTAGGACACACACTACACTTGGTAATTATTTCAAACTTACCAAACAGTGTTTGCAGGCTGAAAAGAACCAAGTTTCAAGTTCTGGTCAACTTGAACCGGTTTAGCCCCTCTGAACCGGTTCAAGGCTTCAAGTTGGTCTCAAAATAACCAACTGCCAAACTTGAACCGATTTAGCTCATCTGAACCGGTTCAAGGAGTCCTGTTCATAATACAGTTTTCCTTTTTCCTGATTTCTTTGCTAGTTGGTCTAGAATTGTACCAAGTCCTAGGCACGAATTTTTCTATATTTTCAGAGGGATTAAAACATTTTAAACTCTATATAAACCTTGTCATACACATAGGTTTATTCACGACTTTTGCATTATCAGTTTATTATTCTTAAAATGCCTTAGGAAGATTTTTGTCTCAGAAATTCTCAGAGAATTTTTTGTTTGTCTTTCTATAACACATACACATAAACACATAGTGAGTTTAGAGTTGTATTGTTCAAATCCTGATCGTGATCATATAGTTGTATCTACATCGATCAGATAAAAGCAGATCTACTTCTACATTGCATTCAGACGATTAAAGAATAGAAGTAAAAGCGATCACACTTTGAAAGGGTTAGAGTATTCGAGGAGTGTTGTCTGATCTACCTGTTACTCTTCTACAAAGATCAAGCATAAGTCTGAGGTCAAGTTGCTATTGGACGGGGAGTCGTAAAGTCAGAGGATTGTCAGCAATTGGTGTTTGGTAGAACGATAAGGTGTGAGCCAGAGTCAAAGTTCGGTTTACTTTGTTTCAAGCATAGTGGATCGGTTTACTTTGGACTACACAGTCCATGAGGTTTTTTTCATGCAAACAGTTGACGTATTTTATCAATTGGGGTCTCCTCGCTAAAATCCTGGTGTCATCTCTATCTTTGCTTTGCTTTATTTTATATTGCATGATATTAATTTATTAATTACTAAAATAAAGAAAGTTAGAAAATACAAGATCTATTTTTAAAATAATCAAAACTTTCTAAATATTCCGCTGCGCATGACTCACATTTATATGTGTATCTTCATCACTCGACATAATCATTTATATATGTTTTTTCATTACTGGACACAACCATTTATATGTGCCTTTTCATCATTAAACACAACCATTTCAATTGGTTGCAATGGTTCACATGGTGTTTATTCACCACTAGACATATCCACTCCAATAAGTTGCAATGACTCACATGGTATTTGTTCACCATTAGATACATCCACTCCAATAGGTTCTGTCTGTTTAATTATACTTTTTCAACCAACACACCCATTCATGCATGTATTGTAATCCAATGCATCCTTACAATTTATTAATCGTTTCTAACCAATCCTTAACCACATTAAACATTAAGAATACGGTAAAGAATCGGTAGAGGTTATGTTAAATAAATTGAATTTTAGACTTTGTATGCAATCTTTACACTAAGACATTCACGTTGTAGTCTGACGTGATACACATAGGCACCCAACTATAAATTAGTCACAGACAAGTTTCATTCACACTTGAAATACTAGTTTTCATAACTAGTTTCCAACATCATCTTAATCTAGTATCTTTGTTAGGCGATTAAAGTGTCAACCACTGTGTATATCAAATTATATATTTATTATATATATACATCACATTGTATCTCTATAAGAACTCTTGAGATACTTCAGACATCTCCCATATATAATTAGATTATGTATCCTGCTTATATATAAAACATTGTGTTTTTTATCATTAATATACATTAATTACTTTGATAGGCATTTGTTAATTGTTATAATAATCAAAAAGTATTTATTTGACTCTCCGAAACAAAAATAAGGAGAGGAATTTTTTTAAAAAATTGTAAAGTTATGAAAATTTGTAAAAATATTGTAATTTTTGTTTTAGATTTTGTACAAATCAAATTCTTATATTTTAGTACCATTAAACTTGATGTGAAAAAATAAATAAATAAATAAAAGATGGTACAATCATAAATGGAAAACTAAATAGATAAGGAAATGGTTTATGAAAAACTGAAAAATAAGAAAAGAAAAAAAGACGTATTTTATGGAAACAAACAAGAGTAGTAACGATGCCTATTTAAGTTGAAATTTTAGAATAACCACGCCATATTTTATCTCTGTCAGTTTAAAGTCAGGATATTAAAGTCGTCAATAACATTATTTTTTTAAATATATATATTAAAACTCATCTCTTAAAACGTTAAATTCTCAAAAAGAAATATTTATTTTGAGAGGGATGGAGTATAATATTGTTTGTTTGTCATGTTGCATGCTTATAAAATGTTAGATCGATAACTAACCTTTAAACTTAATGGTCATAGTGTGCAAACTTATTGAAAACACCCGGCCCCGGCCTTATAACTTTTTCTTATTTTTAATATAATATAAATAATGAGGAACCTATAACCTAAAAAGAATTAGGATAAAATGTCTTAAATAAATAATATAATGAAACTAATACGAAAAAAAATAATAATAATAATAACAATAATAATAATAATAATAATAATAATAATCCATTTTTTCTATAGAGTGATAGGTATTATGTGAGTTGTGCAGTGGAATAGGATGTGGAAGTTTGTATTTAAAAATAACCTAGATGGGTGGTGAATAGGTTTTACTTGCTCATTTATCGAATTTTTACTCATTTTAATTTTGCCGAAATAAAATTAAAATAAAACTCACAAAGCAAAAATAAAGTTTAAGAGTTGATACCATGATTTTTTGTAAGGAAACCCCAATTGGTATAATAGACCAATTGTTGTGAGAAAAATCTCGTGGACTATGCAGTTTAGAGAAAAACGATCCACTGTGTTT